CTACACCGTTAAATGAAGCCACAAAATGCACATTTCAAAACTTTTAGAGTATTATGATGGGTGACATTTCAGGAAACATGCACACAGAATTTGTCAGTTCAAGACATAGAAGAAAGAGAGATCTTTGACTCTTCTGTCCGTCTTCCATCTTAGAAATACAGTGTTTTTGGACTAAAGGTCATTATTATATGTAGGATACACATTTTTGTTTTCTTTTTTTTAAGTGGAGTGTGAAGTTTTTTGTTTTAGGATATGTATGTAGTCTTCCCTGTTGTGATTGGCTGGTAGAAAATAGTGCCAGGCTTTGCTAGACTGCCATATAAAGGCAAAACACAGAAATTATGTCAAGACTGATTAAGTTTTTGGATTGATTTGATATCAACTTTTGTTCTCTGAACATAGTTTAGGAAATCCGGTCTGTCACGGGACAGATCATAAACTTGAATTCACTCATGAAATAGGGCAAAATGTGTAATAACTGTGTTTTGCCTTTGCATGGCAGAAGAATTCACGTTTGTTTAATTCAAGTGCTGTTTAATGTATTTTTTGACCGGCTGCTTCCTGCTCTGGTGATGTCATGATCTCACATTGGTTATCAAACTCTCTACTCACTGTACTGTTACCATGAAGATTTCTGTGGTTACCATTTTTAGGAGCTGCAGCAGACACAATATTGCAAAGGTCTTGTTTTCATCCGAGACACTTCACATGAAAATTCTGCCAGAGATGTGCTTCAGCTTCTCTGTTTCATGTGGCATTTAGTGAAGATGATGATTTCACTATGGTAAACTACATTCAAATAGGGGATACTTTTAAAATTGTGTGTTCACTTGGCTTTTTGACCACGTTGTTTTTCAATGTGTAGACTAAAATGTTTTAATTATGGTTGCCAACTGATCCTGTGCCTTATTAGGTGTCTTTCGATCTACATACAGGTATTTGTATTTAACAGCCATACGTGTAACAATACAACTCCTGACCCCTTTTTTTAAAGAGCTTTTTGCAATGTCAGGAGGATGTGTAGTGATTTTAATTTGATAGTCTGCTATTAATTTGCTCTTTTCTGTCATACTAAGGGGAGAGTAGAGTGCTTCATTTCAAACTGAGCCAGCAACAAACGGTACTGAATTTGTGTTGGCTAGAGATAAAGAAGACTTCATTTCAAGTTCTGCTAGTGTTAAGCTGCACTCGCGTTTATTTGTAAAACGAAGGTGCTTATTCTTTTTACAAACTCAAATAGGTGAAGGAATATTCTTGAAGTTTCCCAAGCCATCCTATTCCTTCTGCTTTGTAGATTCGCCGAGCACGTGGAAAACAACACGACTCTCGAGTCTGCAAAAAGAAGATTTAGCAGATCTTAAACATCGTGACAGTTTTGGCTCTCTAGAGAGCCAATTTCAGGGGTAAACATTGAAACAAATGGGAGGAAACACCACCACCTGCTGGCTGCTGTCGTTCATTGTGATGCTGCGGTCAAACATGCGATTCAAAGATGCTGGTTCACTGCAGTTTTTGTGTTTCAGCGAAGGTGTAAATCTGTTCTAGCGTTGTTGTTTAGTCACAGCAGATGGCAGTTTTTGTATAGTGCACTTTAATTAGGTACATTTAAGGTGAAATTTATACTCCTCTTGAGTTTTGCACACGCAGCATTCACAGTGTAAGGCCATTTATTTTTTCCTGTGCAGAAATGTATCGGTGTGGGTCCTGAGGGATGTGTGCTTGTATACAGTTCTCTGGTGTGGCGGAGTTGGTAATGTAATCTCAGACCTCGGCTGAATAATAGCAGCTGTGAGACAAAACAGTAGAAAGAGAATCGGAGCCGTTAACGACTCATTTTCAGTATCTTAGGTAAGATCGGTATCGCTGCTCCGACTGCACTTTTCGTACAGGATCCGAGCTGTCTGAACTCTACTCCACTTTGTGTGCAGGTGGATTTCTTATTAGTGTTGGTAATTGTGTGAATGAAAATAGGCTACTGCTGTATAGAGAAAATGGACCACCCTGAAAAAATGCATTGAAAATGGTAAAGCCTGTTTACTCTTCTCATTTTTCCATCGTAAAAATTCAAAGTATTTTCAAAAGTATTCCCACTTTTTCTTGTGGGTCGATGTAACAGAAGTAACACTAACAAACGTGCTTTTAAAATGTCTCCTGTCAAAGACAATTGATTCAGTTGAAGAGAGACCGGGTTAGGAAGTATGTATTTGTGCGTGTGTGTGTGTGTGTGTGTGTGCACAGAGATTCCATGCAAACTCACGATTTCATGATTAATTTAGGAGAGTGGGTAGAGTCGGGCCCTTATAAGGTATTCAGGGCAGAGGAAAAATAATTCTATTTTTAGGTATTTCAAACAATATTATGTGTGAAATTTTGTATGTTTTGATTTGTGTGTGGATGAGCAAGTCAATAAACTTTAAAAAAAAAAATGTGAATGTGTTATTACTGTGTGAGAAATATATAAATTCTGATAAAATAATCATTACTTGGTGCATACAGCTTATAGGTTATGATGGGGCTGGGAGATATTTTATTTTTTTGCTCAAAAAAAAAAACTCTACTCTGATAAATATTCACTAAAGTCAGTTTCTATGTAGACATGTACCTCTTAAGTCTTAAAGTTATTGAACATTTCCACCATATGAAAAATATGTCTAATGGTAATGAGGCATGTTGTCATTATATGGGGGCACAGTAGAATGTGGCAATAAACCTAGGCATTTCAGCTCAATTTTAATAGTACAGCAATTATGAAAATATAAAAGGCACTAAACAAAAATATCAACTTGTGTACATTACACATATTGTGTGTGTGTGTGTGTGTGTGTGTGTGTATATTATATATATATATATATATATATATATATATATATATATAATGTACAATGCTGTTCAAAAGTTTGGGATCAGTAGATTTTTAATGTGTTTTAAAGAAGTGTCTTCTGGTCATCATGGCTGTATTCATTTGACCAAAAATACAGAAAAAAACAGTAATATTGTAAACTATTATTACCATTTAAAATAATGTTTTTCTATTTTAATATACATTAAAATATAATTTATTTCTGTGATGCAAAGCTGATTTTTCATCATCATTACTCTAGTCTTCAGTGTCACATGAAAAGTTCTTCAGAAATCATTCTAATATGCTGATTTACATTTACATTACATTTAGTCATTTAGCAGACGCTTTTATCCAAAGCAACTTACAAATGAGGACAATGGCAGCAACAAGAGATCAACAAAATCAACAAGAGAGCAATGATATGCAAGTGCTATAACAAGTCTCAGTTAGCTTAACGCAGTACACGTAGCAAGGTTTTTTTTTATTATTATTATGTAATAAAAAGAAAAACAGATAGAATAGAAAAAGAACAGAGCAAGCTAGTGTTAGAGGCCTTTTTTCTTTTGTTAATTGTATAATAAATAAAAAGAAAACAAATAGAATACAAAAAGATTAGAGAAACTAGTGTTTTTTTAAAGAAAACAAGCATTTAGTAAATGAATAGAGTGCAAGTCTAAAAGGGTCAAGTTTTTCTTCTTTTTTTTAAAGAATAAAATTAGAATAGAGAGTGCTAGAGTTAGAGGGTCAAATAAAGATGGAAGAGATTCTTGAAGATGGACTCAGCTCCTCGGATTGAGTTGGTTGGTTGATTTATTATCAATGTTGGAAACAGCTGTGCTGCTTCATATTTTTTGGTACTTTTTTCAGGATTATTTGATGAATAGTTAAAGCAGCACTATGTAACTTTTGGCGCTCTAACGGTTAATAAACAGAACTGCACACATCCCGCGGAAGAACATTCCAACCGGAGCTACTTCTCTAAGTTTATGTCTATGGCGATTCACGCAGGTATGTGTTACTCCGCAGCGGTGACGACCCGACCAGGCTACAATAATCCAAATATAAGTACTTATTATAAGTGTACCGGAGTGATTCGGAATAAGACAGAAATGCGGTTTGGAAGATGAATTCATGATGTACTCGCTCATTATATACATTTTGAACACAGAAAAAGTTACATAGTGCTGCTTTAAAGAGAACAGCGTTTATTTAAAATAGAAATATTTTCTAACAATGTAAGCCTTTATCACTTTTTATCAATTTAACACGTCCTTGCTAAATAAAAGCATTCATTTCTTTCAAAAGAAAAAAAATTACTGACCTCAAACTTCTGAATGGTAGTGTATATTGCAACAAAAGATTTCAATTTTGAATAAATGCTGTTCTTTTTAGCTTTTATTCATCAAAGAATCCTGAATGAAGTATCACAGGTTCCAAATATAAGTGCTTATTATAAGTGTACCGTAGTGATTCGGAATAAGACAAAAACGCGGTTTGGAAGATGAATTCATGATGTACTCGCTCATTATATACATTTTGCAAATTTTGAACACAGAAAAAGTTACATAGTGCTGCTTTAAAGAGAACAGCGTTTATTTAAAATAGAAATATTTTCTAACAATGTAAGCCTTTATCACTTTTTATCAATTTAACACGTCCTTGCTAAATAAAAGCATTCATTTCTTTCAAAAGAAAAAAAATTACTGACCTCAAACTTCTGAATGGTAGTGTATATTGCAACAAAAGATTTCAATTTTGAATAAATGCTGTTCTTTTTAGCTTTTATTCATCAAAGAATCCTGAATGAAGTATCACAGGTTCCAAAAAAAATATTAAGCAGCAAAAGTGTTTCCAATATTGATAATAAATAAGAAATAATGATTTCTGGAGTAATGATGTTGAAAATTCAACTTTGCATCACAGGAATAAATTATATTTTAAAGTGTAATAAAATAAAAAAAACATTATTTTAAATTGCAATAATATTTTACAATATTACTGTTAAAAAAAACATTATTTTAAATTGCAATAATATTTTACAATATTACTGGGTTTTTTTCTGTATTTCTGGTCAAATAAATGTAGCCATGATGAGCAGAAGAGAATTCTTTAAAAAACATTACAAATCTTACTGATCCCAAACTTTTGAACGGCTGTGTATGTACATTTTTATTTTTTTCATTTAATTTTTTTAAAACAATGCACTTACCCATCTGCTGTAGTGTGTTTCTGGTATTTATGGATTTTTTTTTATGGCACTATTTGTATAGTCTTACTTTAATTGGTTCTACTTGTATTTCCATTTGCAAGTCGCTTTCATAAAAGCATCTGATAAATGAATGAATGTAAACTTAGAATATTCATAATATTTGACAACTATAGCACTAGCATGCCTGAAAACAGTTCAGTCTTTGAGTTACCTTCATTGTACAGATGGAGGACAGAATTTATTTAAATGTTGGCCTATATTGTATATTTTGAAAAACAAAATCACTGCTTTGCATTTTAATTAGTCGTTTGACTGAAAACTTCAAAGTTACTGACAAATAACCCTTGTGACAACTAACCTCGGTCTTTCAAATATAGTGGTCAAGAGGGGAAAACTTTTTAAAGTGAAGTTTCATTATCACGGAAATAGATAGGCTACTATAACTTCACCACTAGGTGGCTATAAACTTGCAGATCCCGTTTTACCTGTATTTCCAGACAAAGTATGTACAATACAATTATACAATACAATAAGTATATAAGCATGTAACATATCTATTGAAATACAATAATAACGCTATTGTTAAAAACAAAACTATAAACTGTGTATATAAAAAACGAAACAAATATAAAACATAAAAATCGCAGGTGCAGACAAATCCTCCTCAGCTGCCCCGAGGTCGTCTCCATGGGAACCAATATGAAAAACACAAACTCAAACACAAAGGAAGAGTTATTGCGTGAGCCGATGTGTAATTGGAAAACTGTTGAAACGGCTTGTGGTCAGAAAGGAAAATAAAAGTTCTTGTTTTAATTTAAGCACATTTTGAAGGCTGAAACAGCTGCGAGAAAATTTATCTGGGATGTCGGCCACAATTAACCCGCTAGCAAATCCTAAAGGAGTAAAGAAGCTGTGCGAACTTTGCCAGAAACCTGCAAAACTTCAGTGCACAAAATGCCTGGTCACATTTTACTGGTGAGTCTGGAGCCTTCGGGTTATTCAGTTAACTTGTGTGTTTTTGTCTTTATATTATCCAACCGAGCACCTTAAACTAGTACGTAATGCTCCATGGTGTAACTGCGCGTACAGACAGCAGGTGGCACCATAGACACACAGGTCATGCTCGCATTCTTGGCCGTGTTACTGCAGAGATGGAAAGGTTGAACGAGTTCAAACAGCTGGAGGAGAAATTATGTGCAGAGAGAAGAGAATAGCCAGCCATGCGTGTTTAAACACAACCAGGAAAAAGGAGAAAGAAATATGACTGGGAAAATGTATGTGTTTTGTGTGCATGCGTGGAGTTTTCACTTGCTGTTTTTAAAGACGCCACAATCCTCACAACCATATACGGCAGGCCAGGGGTATTCAATTACAGTTCCAAGAGGTCGGTCTCTATATTTCCTTCCCAGTGGAGGTCCGGACAATATATAGGAATAGTCATTATACATTTCCATCTGGCCACCAGTAATGCTTTGTAAAAGAAAAAAAAAAGTCCAAATAGTCATCAAAGATGAGGATATTGGGTCCTCGGAGCCAAATGCCAGTGGCTTCTGAGAATTTTCCTATTAAAAACAAATCCTCAGTTGAGGCCAATTAGATTTGAATATTAAAAGATAAGATCAGATGTTTTATCGAAGCTATTATTATTTTTTACGTTTAGATAGACTACATATGTAAGGCAGGAGGCAATGTGGCAGAAAAGATAATGTATGGGGGTTCAGAGTTTTCCTATTTAAGTCTGGAGTATTTTATTTTTTGCTTAATCAAAACGCTCTCAACATGAGCAGAAAGTTAACTTTCAATGTTTATGTCGTCTTTCCTTGCCATCTACAAATAATTTTCCAAATTTTAACAATTATATGTTTATTTTTAAAATGCTCTTTAACATAGGCTACTGATTAATAATGTTAAATGTCGATGAAAAAAATGCTATGTCTAAAACCTGGTTTGAACGGTCAGAGTCTGATAGGTAAAAAATAACTATATTTGCAGCATTGTTGTTTTCTGCAGTGTTTTAGCAAAAGTGTCGATCTATTTTGCTGGTCACTGTGTTTCTGCTTCTGTTTTTCAAATAACCGCGTAATCCGCAACGATTAATGGCGCTTTAGAGAAGCAACGCACATGGGAAGGGCTTGAATGAAGCGCGTTTGGCTCTAGTTAAAAAAAAATATTAGAGGATATAACACCGAAAGATCATTACAACAAACGCCCCTGAGCGCTTGCCTTGTGGTGTGAACCGCTCCGTTGTTTTAACACGCTGCTCACTTTATTTAATAGAAATGATCAAATGGTGCTGCTGTTGCCATTGGAACCAAGCCGAGGTCCGGACCACGACACAGTGTCAACATGCAAATATCTATCTTATAACTTGGACAGAAACGGTTTGTTCTTTGACGGGCAGCTCTTAAATCGATAGTTAAATGAAATATGAAAATAATGTCTTTATTTACTCAGCCATGTTGTTTCGAACCTGTATGGCTTGCTTTGTTTTGTGTGTTTCACAAAAGGAGATTGACACACATGTGTGACATAGGTATTACAACGTGAATATGGTTTATGACAATACTTCTATGAAGGACCAACCCTGCAGAAATGATAAATAAATAAATAAAAATAACAGGGGAAAAAATGACTTGATAAAAACAAATATAGTTCGTTTGTAATCAAATTTAACCCAGAATTTATTCTGCTTCTCAGAATAATTTGTATTTCTAAGTTCTTTATGTATTTTTCTTTTATGTATTATATTATTTAGCGTATTTATTTTTACATTTATTTTTTATTCTTTTTAACTTTTTTACTTCTCATTTATTTTAATATTTATTGAATTTATTTATGTACAGTATGTATTTATTTTTAAATACATTTATTCACGCGTTTATTTATTTTAGTTCATTTAAGTTAAAAATAATAAAAATAAATACAGAAAATAATACATATAGGAAAAAGGTAATAAAAAATTAATTCAGGATTAAATTTTATTACAAATGAACTATACTTGTTTTTATCAAGTAATTTATTTCTTTATTTTCCTGTTATATTTATTTATTTTTCATTTCTGCAGGTTTGGTCCTCCATATACTTCCTGTGTCCTCATAAACCAAATGTCTTAAAAACATACTAAACGGTGTTTTGAAAATCTAAAAATACAGAAAGTTTTGTTTGAGGGGTAGGTTTAGGGTAAGGGGATAGAAAATACAGTTTGTACAGTATAAAAACATTACGCCTAAGGAGAGTCCCCATAAACCACATATACCAACATGTGTGTGTACACGTGTACCTACTTATATCTTAAGGACAAATTTGTACCTAGAAATGAGCTAAATCTGACAAGACCTCCCAAAACCCCCTTTTGGTAGCATCCAAGTTTGTAAAAAGAGTATTTAAAAAAAAAAAGAATAAAGTAAATAACTTTTTTAATTGAAAAAATTGCATAATATTTTCTATTTGAGTAATATTCTATTTCAATAAAGTATCTGGAATGTGTGTGTGTGTAGTAACTCTGACCACCAGCAAACTGACTGGACCAGTATTCATGGGAAAGTCTGTCCGTTGCTGGTATCTATCCACACACCTGCACCATTCAGCACACTGCAGTCTGGCCGAGAGCACCACCACAAAGAAACACTGAAGAAACAGGTTTGTATGTACTCCAGCAAGTAAACTGGGGCAAATGGTATGCCAACAGGGCAGATGTCTAACTAGTCAGTGTTTTTGACACTAGAAACATCTAGTAGAGATTGCTCATTTGGAGTCGCAGAGGTGGGTGTCCAAGAAGAGGTTCCAGGATGTGTTACCGGCCGCTCTCCTATTCTTGCGCTGGGCCATGCGGGTGTACGGATCCTGTGCTGTTGAACTGGTACCAGCTTATCTACTGCTCGCACAGGCTAATATAGGTGAGACATGCATAGAAACACATCTGCAAAAATCAACACAGTGCTGTGCTAATATTAAATCTCTCCAAGGTCCATTAGATTGAGAGCCACTGGTAGACTTCAAAGTTCTAGAACCTCTCCAGAGGCTGACCGCCAATAACTTCCACTTCAGTAGAGAATGGAAACAAACGTTTGCTAAAATCTGAGGCTGGCGTTGAGCCCTGTTTACTTCCTGTGGGACGGTCTATGGGTGGGCTCAAGGGCGGTGCTTGGACATGAACTGAGGGGAGAGACAATTGTTATGTAATTCAGGATGTGGCAGACTAGTCATGCAGAGGTGTACTGTCTCAATGAGAAACTCTTGCATTGAAAGCTCTTCGTCATGAGCTCCATCTCCATTTCTGTGACAAGAAAATCAAAAAGTTAGTTTTTTAGTTAATTTTTTTTTATTTCCTTTTCAAACAAATGCTGTTCTCTGAACTTTCTTTTCATCAAATAATCCTGACCAAAAATCATGGTTTTCACAAAAATATTAAGCAGTACAATAATGAAAATAATAAGAAATGTTTCTTCAAATCAGCATATTAGAATGATTTCTGAAGGATCGTGTGACACTGAAGACTGGAGTAACTAATGACTGCTGAAAATTCAGCTTTGCCATCACAGAAATAAATAAATTTTTAAAATGTATTAAATATAAAACAGTTGTTTTAATGAATTATTAAATTGTTATAATATTTCACAGTACTGTTTTACTGTATTTTTAAACAAATAAATGCAGCCTTGGTGATCATTTGACTTCTTTTAAAAACATTTTAAAAAAATTTACAGACCTCAGAAAAATGTTTAACAAAATTGCAGAACATGCATAAATTAACAAATAAATAATTTTTTAATTAAAATAAATTCTATTATATATTTTAATTTAAATGATATTATAACATTTTATATTAAAATTAATCCTATAAAAAAAACTTAATTTCTTTATATAGTTATTAAAAGTTTGCATAATTGTTCCCTTCCATGCATATTAGGAATAAAATGTTTTAAATACAAAAATATAGCATTGTTTTCATGGATTTACACTTGCGCTTATCTTCTCACAACTAGAGAGATGGCAGACATGACGACATTTCCAGTAAGTGAATATAGTGAGCAGCTGATGCTCGCTGGATTTTTTTACGGTGGATTCAGAGGATTTTTTGGGAGTGAAAGTGGAATGATCAGACACCCCTAGGAATGGCCAACTCCCTGGGGAGTGCACTATTGAACTAGGGAGCGGATTGAGACACACCCCTGATAATTAAGCTTCTCTCTATATGGATAGGTGGGATGCTTTGTATGAAGGATCGTGTGACACTGAAGACTGGAGTAACTAATGACTGCTGAAAATTCAGCTTTGCCATCACAGAAATAAATAAATTTTTAAAATGTATTAAATATAAAACAGTTGTTTTAATGAATTATTAAATTGTTATAATATTTCACAGTACTGTTTTACTGTATTTTTAAACAAATAAATGCAGCCTTGGTGATCATTTGACTTCTTTTAAAAACATTTTAAAAAAATTTACAGACCTCAGAAAAATGTTTAACAAAATTGCAGAACATGCATAAATTAACAAATAAATAATTTTTTAATTAAAATAAATTCTATTATATATTTTAATTTAAATGATATTATAACATTTTATATTAAAATTAATCCTATAAAAAAAACTTAATTTCTTTATATAGTTATTAAAAGTTTGCATAATTGTTCCCTTCCATGCATATTAGGAATAAAATGTTTTAAATACAAAAATATAGCATTGTTTTCATGGATTTACACTTGCGCTTATCTTCTCACAACTAGAGAGATGGCAGACATGACGACATTTCCAGTAAGTGAATATAGTGAGCAGCTGATGCTCGCTGGATTTTTTTACGGTGGATTCAGAGGATTTTTTGGGAGTGAAAGTGGAATGATCAGACACCCCTAGGAATGGCCAACTCCCTGGGGAGTGCACTATTGAACTAGGGAGCGGATTGAGACACACCCCTGATAATTAAGCTTCTCTCTATATGGATAGGTGGGATGCTTTGTATGCTGAGAATTCTCAGTGGCTGCTTTCAACTTGTTTGACAGATGAGCAAACCAGGCATGACTCTTTAAAACATTGGATGTCTATTCCAACAGAAACATCTAAGATGGTTGTATTGAGTAGAGAGACCTTCTAATAGGCAGGCTAACTTAAAAGTCAAGAGGCATCAAGGACACTTTGTTCATAATGTATGTTGTTTGTGTGTGTTAAGGTTTAGGTTCTCTCTCCCAGGCACATGAGTATCTGTCTAAGGCTGAGTGGACAGTAATGAAAACACCAGGCTGCAGTCACACTGTCCTTCATCAGCTACACAGAACCCTGGGTCGCCTGCACGCTGCCATGGGAAAATACACATCTGCTCTTACTCACTTTGCCAATGACGTATGTCCTAAAATGTGTGGAACACTGTCATTGGATTGCATGTACAGAATTATCTGCCATGACTTATTGCTGATGCATGTTTGTGTGGTAATAAATATTAGGATTTTGTAGGAATATTGCAAGGCCCTTTGAAACACTTACTTGGTCAGTTGTGGCGTACTGGCATGAATAATTTTAACTAAAAATCTATATTTTATGTTCATTTATTGATATCATTTATTTATGTGTGTATTAACTACAAAACTGACTGTACATATTTTGTTTTCTATGTGTAGGTGTATTATGCCAGTGAAATGTTTGGTTTGGGCAGTACTGTGACATCTGGAGGATATTTTCTTATGGCTGATGTGTTTCTGAAGCAAAACAAGCCTGACATTGCCCATTCGCTCTACACAGAGGTGGGAAAACCCACCATCAGCACACATTGAGACATCTGTCTCTGTTAAATGTCTCTCATCACATTGCGTGCGTGTGTACAGGTGGCAAATTCATGGCACACTCACCTGTGTAAGCTGATGGATGGTATCGGGCAGAGCGGCACTCAACCAGAGAAGTGTTTTGGTAAGACAGTAAACCTACACAAAGACACGTCCGCAAATATTATTCATCCAATCAGCATATTTTTTTTGTGAAATATAAATATATATATGTACTATTCAAAAGTTTGGGGTCAGTTTTTTTCAAACAGTGATGACCTTTTTGTTGGCGGAGCCTATCTAGTGGCAGAATATGAGTTTTAAAGTAGCAGTCTATGGAAGCCATGGAATAAAAGAATAAAAAAACATTTAATTTTAAGGTTTATATTTCAAAATTCAGACTTTTTTTACACTACCAGTCAAAAGTTTTTGAATAGTAGGATTTTAAAAGTTTATTAAAGAATTCTCTTCTGCTCACCAAGCCTGCATTAATTTGATCCAAAATACAGCAAAAGCAGTAATATTGTGAAATATTTTTACAATTTAATTATTTACTATTTAGCTAATTGAATATATTATAAAATGTAATTTATTCCTGTAATTTTAAAGCTGATTTTTTTTAGCGTCATTACTCCAGTCTTCAGTGTCACATCATGATCCTTTAGAAATCATTCTAATATTCTGATTTGCTGCTCAAAAACTTTTTTTATTATTATTATTATTATGTTGAAAACAGCTGAGTAGAATTTTTTTCAGGTTTCTTTGATGAATAGAAAGTTCAGAAGAACAGCATTTATATGAAATAGAAATCCTTTGTGACATTATAAATGTCTTCATCATCACTTTTGATCAATTTAAAGCATCCTTGCTAAATAAAAGTATTAATTTCTATAATTTCCAAATTCAGCTTTGCTGTCACCGTAATAAATTAGATTTAGAATATATTCAAATAGAAAATAGTTATTGTAATTTAATTAAATTGCAGTAATGTTTAATAAATGGAGTCTTGTAGGGAATCAGCTTCTCAGTCTTCTCACCAAAACGGTCCAGTGTTTTGATAATATTCAAGTCATGTGATTGAGCTGGCCAGGGCAGATGTTGAGATTCATCCTAGTGCTTCCAGGTTTTATGATCATGACAGCATATTTATATATATTTTTTTACATTTTAGCATAGGTGTCTGTGATTAACGTTTTAGCAAATTGCAGCTTTTTCATGAATGCTGGCTTTGTGAAATTGTCTGTGGTCAGTTTTTGCAGAAACAAGGTTCAAGGTCTTCAAGGAATATTGAGATTTGCTGTCACTTTGCAGAAGTAGTTCTATGTTGTTTGAACAGTCCTTCTTAGTTTTTGACAGTCTCTATCTTTCACTTTCTGTTTCTGCCCACTGTTCTTCTTCTCTAATGAGGTCTTGCCATGCTTTCTGTATGTAGTCATAATCATAAAGACTGTTGTTCTTAAAACACCAATTAGGCCGTTAGGGTTACAGATGCTCCTGTTAAACAGGCTCTCATGATTTGTCCTTTTCGGAAATCTGACAACTCACTCATTTCACAGGCTTGTAACATAAATATCTAATAAAAATAAAGTTTTATTTTTATAATTAATATGTAAATATGGATAAATTAATGCACATAACACTTTGAACTTACAAATAAAAACTTAATTTTAATATGTAATTGATATCTTGATGTATATATTTAATTTGTTTATTGTTATGAGGTCATGAAATGTCATGTGTATGGTGTGGATTTAACCTATCATAAGCTTTTAAAGCAGCCTGTTTTGGTTCCGACATGATTGTATACGTTTATGTATTAGTTTGCATGAAGTTAGCGTTATATTTAGAGCCATGAGGTTGTGTCCTAGAGCAAAACCTAGTTTATTCCACTGATAACTAAGATCAAACATGACACAGCCGTGAGTACGTGCAGCACTCCTGCCCTAGTTCTCTCTCTAAGCCTATTAACCTCAGCGCTGTTTTGGCTAAGTCTTCCAGTGACGTGGCTGGCTTTGCTCAGTGTGGCTGGCTGGTCAGTGGTCAGTACGCTTGATCCTTTCTGCTTTCTGGCCTCACACTGACTGACCCAAGGTCAGTAGACTGGCGCCGGTTCTGCCCTCTGGCTAGCCACATCATATTATAACTTCTGACCAGATGACTCTATAGCAGGAAACAGCTCAGCCGGCCTTGCTCTGCATGTCCTGGTGGAAGCGACTGCACAGAGCTACAACAACAAGCATGACCTGATGTCAATCAGGGACACAGACTAGCCAGAGTTTTATTCTTTTTGTCTCTGTGGAGCAGACAGTCATATCGTGTCATTGGTCAGTGAAGTCATACATCCAACCATGCTCACCGTTCAGTCAAGCAACTTTAGTAACACTTTACAATACAGTTTAATTTTCTAACGTTTGGTAATGCAGTATTCTTTTGAAAAAAATCTCACTGACAAGACTTCTGAACAGTGGTGTAAATGATGAAGAAACATTTTTATGCAATAAAATGATTTGGAAACAAATTATTCATAGACTAGGTTGTTGGCGGATTTCTGAACTGGCACCAGGGAGTGTTAATGCTTCTCCTAATGGACCAAGCTCTAGCATGGTTATCAGCCAATCTTAAAGTGGTCAAATATTGGCTGATTTATCAGCCTGGCCAACAATGTCAGATAGAAGCAACTCCCTATAAGGGGATGTATTTCAAAACACTAGATGATAGATCATGTTTCTGAATATCTCCTAGAGATTATTCAACAGAAATCATCATTCAGTCTCTTTCACAGATAGATCTGGTTTCTCAGAATCAAACTGCTGCACTCACCTGTGACTATTATAGCGGACACTGATCTTCCTCTTTTGTGTGTAGATGAGGCCCAGTGTGTGGAGGCTGATCAGATGTTGAGATGTATCTTGGAGTTTGAGGAACAGTGTGTGAAGCCTCGCCCTGACCAGTCAGCCATGTTGGCACATTCTCTGGCTATGCTGTGGTTACTATGCAACAACTACACCAAGGTAAACAATAAAGATTGACCAATTAAAATATTCCATTCAGACACTTCATGAGATACATTTACAGTATGCTCTTGAATTCAACACTGACCTCCTCACCAGTGCGCTGGATAATCAAATCATAGTAAATAACCAAATGTCTAATTAAATTGAAAGTTCTGAGGTGGAATGTTTGAATTCGACTTGGATGGATGTCTTGCTGTGAACATGTTTAAGTTCTATTGACTTCAGTGCAGATTAACACTAAAGGCTAAAGCCATGATGAAAATTGACAGTCAGACTGTTCCACTGCTATTCTAGTTGTAATGGGATTCTCCTTTAGCATTCCTCTGACTTCCACTACATCTCAGACTACAGTTTAAATCCCCAGTTCTTATCGCAAACTTGTTCAAACTCCCAGCGCTCATATCAAACTACAACAAAACTCCCTAATTTATCACTTCACAGCTCCTCAGCTCTTATATCAAACTGTTAACATCCCATTATTCGTCAAACTACACTAAACTCCCTGAATTAAAACAGCTAAACTTTCCACACATCATATTAAATAGGCGATATTGTTCCGCTCTTCATGCGTTTGAAAATTAGGTTTCCTTTTTTGTTTTTGGTATACATTTCTTTTATGTTTTTGTGTTTGTGTATATAGGCATTGGAGTATGGGAAGAAGGCGGAGTTGTTGATCCAGGGGTTAAGTGAGCAAAACAGACTGAGAGAGTCAATCCATAATCTACTACAACATGCTGAAAAACAGTTGGAATGAGACTGGCCACTAAACTACACACCGCAAACAAATCAAAATGGACAACAATATACAGCACAACAACAGTCAAACTGTCTTCACACTGTACAGTGTTCATATTCATTCATTAAATCCATCGATATTGGGAGATATTGATGTATAATTAAGGTGCAGTCACATTAGCGAAATTTCGTGGGCAAAAAAGGTTCATTGTCTAGTTCAATAGTGATGTATGAAGCACGGCTCGCACTCATTTTTTTTTTTTGTTTACTTTTAAACCAAGCAGCTTTCTGTTGGTTAACGCAGTGAATTTGTGAACTCGAACCGGTCGCGTAATCTGCGTGAGGAAATATTTCACCCTCATGTAAAATTCCCAAGCGCATGGATTCCTATTGAAATGACTGGATTTTACCCATGAAAATTCGCTAAACAACAGTATATGTGACCACACACCATGCTCACCGTTCAGTCAAGCAACTTTAGTAACACTTTACAATAGTTTAATTTTCTAACGTTTGGTAATGCAGTAGGTATCAGCATAATTATTTTTTATTTTGTTTATAAATGAATACATTTAATGTTTAACAAGTGCTCATTTATAAAAATTCTACTGTTCATTGTGCATTTGTTTGTTCGTAATACTTGAATTTTAATGTTAGAAAAATAACAAAAACGAATGATATAAGCTAATATGTGTTTAATTATTTTAATAATATTATTACAATTTAAATTAATTTATTGAATATATTAATTTTCTATTTTGTTATATTCTAAAAATGATTTATTCCTGTGATGGCAAAGCTGAATTTTCAGCAGCCGTTACTCCAATCCTCAGTGTCACATGATCCCTCAGAAATAAGGTGCAGTCACATTAGCGAAATTTCGTGGGCAAAAAAGGTTCATTGTCTAGTTCAATAGTGATGTATGAAGCACGGCTCGCACTCATTTTTTTTTTTTGTTTACTTTTAAACCAAGCAGCTTTCTGTTGGTTAACGCAGTGAATTTGTGAACTCGAACCGGTCGCGTAATCTGCGTGAGGAAATATTTCACCCTCATGTAAAATTCCCAAGCGCATGGATTCCTATTGAAATGACTGGATTTTACCCATGAAAATTCGCTAAACAACAGTATATGTGACCACACCTTTAGTGAGGCAGACTACAGCAAAAATCTTGCAAAAGATCAGTGGAAAAGGCCTGTCAACTGTGATGTGAGATAAATAGACAAGCTGACACGGTTTCATGTTCTGGACATTTTTAAAATGTCTTTATTGGTATTATTGGTATTATTACGTAATGACACATAACATCAATGTTGGCGTTCTATCACTAGTAATTTCTTGTTTTAAGTTATACAACATTGCTTGGTTTTTGGCATTTAGGTTCCCACTAAAAAAATAAATTAAAAAACCCAATGAAATGAACACATGGAGTCTCAAAACATTTCCCTTTTCCATACCAGAGAGCCAAGTGTTCATTAGCAGCAACTGTTGCTTTTTATTTTTTGTTATGTGATGCTAAGTTAATTGCCAACTCACAAGTCAGAAGGGTATAGCGGTACCTTATCAATCAGATTGAGCACTACTTCATATAGACCACTGTTTTCCACTGTGTAAGATCTGATGATGCTATTTTAGCTCTCAGTTCAGATGCCTGTTTTTGAACTGCTGTCATGGAAGTTTGACCCCTCCATTCTGAATTTGCATTTTATTAAGTTTTGGAGTCACACAGGTTTGATACTTAACATAAGGGCAGAAGAAACTTCCTGTTGTATCCTATGAAGTGGAGGCAGAGCTTGTAAGTTCGACAACCATATAGTGCGTTATCGCGAAAACACGGAAAAGTGTCAGAGTTTACAGGGACACTTGTTCTTGCGTGGGAAGAGGTGGAAGGTGCAGGTCTCTGGTTGCATGGAATGATGGAACACATCACACACACAAGACGGCAAATCACAACGCTTGAGAGGGGGTGGTGAGAAGAGTGTGGTCAACGGCTGTTCAGTCAAACTCACACTAAAACCCTTCGTCACTCCAAGCAAGATTAAATCGCATATAAACCAGTTTTTCCTTTTTCTCAAAAAAAAACAAAAAAACAGAAAAATTATAAATTAGGAAAACAAAAGACAACAGAACACTAAATATTATAAAACGAACAAGAAAAGAGTGCATGTAACCATCAGGTCTCACAGCATCCATTTCTTAATATTTTAGAACGCTTTGTCCTTTTGTTTATTGATACACATAGGCAGGACTGTCTAGCATGAATATGTCACGTTTCCAAGGAGAGGAATTTGATCAAGGCTGCTTCCCTGAGTTGACTCTAAATTTCAAACCTATATTGCATCTTAATGTAAACTATTTCATCGAAAGTCCGAACTCACATTTAATTGATCTAAAATCTATGACGTCTAACATTGTAAACCATTCTGAGCTGGTTTGGATTGTGAGCTTGGTCCACTTTAGATTTGCTGTATGGAATCCTTAACGTGAATTTCATTATATGCAAATATGCTGAAATAAAGAATTTTTGGATTTTAGGACACTTCCAGATAGAAAAAGGGACATTAATAGAGTTGCTTAACTTTAAATAGAAGAATTAGACTTGTGAGAAATGTGTGGTGTACAGATATAACGGAGTACAACAAATAAATGTAAATTTAGCTCAAATCAATTTCAATTCCTGGTTTTCTTTCAGGTTATCATTGGCTTTTAGACCACTGGGCTGAATTAAGAGCAGTTGTAGCACCTGTTTGAGTTGACACTTCAGTTTTATTGTTGCAGTATTTTTGTACAAAAAGTCGTTGAAGACGAACAGCTTATTCATCATCAGCGCTTAGTGTTGGCAAAACGTTCAGCCCTTGTGGTAAAAACATTAGTATTTAAAAGTCTACTTGCTCTGTTTCTCTGCAACTCACTGTTCAGACTCTATGTGGGAAATTGCTTTTGGGGTGGCAGACATGCAGATTGGCGAGTGGTCATTAGCAGATTTGAGTAGTAGACATTGGGAAAAGTAGCTCAGTTTTTAGCATATTTTTCCGCTCACAATATCTTCCATACAATTGATCCATAAACAGATTGCTTTAACCAGTTCAAAATGGTGGATTTCTAAAATGGCCGCTTCATTCACAGAATTACCAGACAGCAGATGCCTGTAAGAAATAAGTTCCTATGGGCCAAATCCTCACTTACACATTAAGAAAGGTAATTCAAAACGGGTCCCACATCAGTCATTCAATTTTACTGACACCGGCAAAGCAAATGAAACCTTTACGCTTGTCTGTTCAGCAGTAATTCATTTACTACAGGCAGCCACTGCAACAGACTAAAATAACTCATACTCATTCATGCTTTTAAAAGAGTTAGGATGGATGAGAATATTCACAGCTTTCCAGTTTTTGTTCTTGCTGTCCCTCTATGTGTCTGTCTGTGTGGGCTTTTTGAGGGCAGGGAGGTATGTGCCTTTGTATCCTGGTGGGCAGTTGAAATTTGGGTCCATTCGGTTTCCTCTTTCTCGCCCCATGCATGCAATGCATTATACCTTCAGCCAGGCTTTACCACAAGGTTTGTAACAGACACAATTAATTCATTCTCTCCCTATAATACAGACTTTAATATGTCCTTAAGTGTATGTCAGTATGTGTGTACCCTAACCCACAGTATGTACATCAGAATCCAGTTGATGGTAGCTGAAAGGTTACATTTGGGAATCACGTCCCGGTAAAACCACTCTACAGTGCATGCACCCTCAAATTACAGTGACAAACACATATTCAGCTGGTGCACTACAGCCAGGCTGGAGTGTACACTAGCTAGTGCACTTCCAACTGCACTGTACACTTGTATAATTCTATAGTCTGTCAATGGAGAAGAAACATCAGGGGAGCAGCCTCAGACGGGGGTTTACAGGGAGGGTTAGTATGATTACACGTGCGCATCTGTATGTAAAGTGTCCACTTCAGTTTGTTTCGCTCTTTGATGGTTGTGTGTGTGTGTGTGTGTGTGCATGTGTAAGTGTGTGTTTGTGGCTGTAATTCCAACTCACTCAGTCAACAGTTTTATCTCACTCGCGAGAAGGGAGTTGATATTGTAGGCGGGATCTGCAGTGACGGGAGCGGGGCCTGTTTCCGTTAGATCCACCTCGCTCTCGCTGGAGGTGGAGCTTGTGCTCATGGTGGAGACGGCGTCAGTGATGGCACAGGTAGCGCCAGGTGGGCAGATCTCATTGGGAATACACACCTCCGTGGGGATTATCACCTCGGTCGGGATACACCCCTCGGGTTCGCTGCTGGTTTCGCTGGTGCTGGAGACCACAGAAAGCAGCGACATCTTCCTGCTGAGGCGGCTTGGCAGAAGAGAGAGGATGTAGTCGGCCACGATGCCTGCCACGTCCATCCCACAAGCCTGGTCGAACGCGATGAAGCCCACGTTGGCGTTGGCCTCGCACACCACAAAGGAACCGTCGTTTAGCTGCAGCAGGTCAACTCCACAGACGTCCATCCCCAAAATATTGCACACCTGCACAGCCAGCTGCTTCCCCTGCTCACTGAGGGGGCACATCATTCCCACCCCACCTATCAAAAAAAGAGCAAAATCATGAGCAGGGAGGCTAATGGGAAATTATGGGCAGTTGTTGTTGTAAGCTCAAACTAAAAAAAAAACCGAAGAAAAACAAAACTAAAAAAAAAATTTAATTGGTAACTGAAATGAATCCAAAATATTAAATGAAAAACTTCAATTACTAAAACTGTAATAGAAAAAAATAAAGCCATAGAGAAAGAAAAGAGAAAAATAAGCAACAAAAATTCTACATATTATTCATAATGAAACTTTACATCACAAGTCAAATATTTTAGGGGAGGTGAGTGTGCGATTGCATACCCAGTGAGCAGTTGCTCTGCATGCGTCCGTCGGTAGAGCAGCGCAGCATGGATCCGATCACTCTCCCCCCGACCAGAACCACCCGCACATCCCGCCCATGGCTCTCCTTCACATACTCCTGAAACAGGTACGGGGCGTCATGGCGAATCAGATGACACAGGTCTGAGAGGTGGTGCTTATCCCGGGCCAGGAACACAGCTTTACCTGTACAGATCGAAATTTGACAGTTTTACCAGGGAAAAAGACTTTACAATTTACAGAATTAATTTTAGGAACTACCTAAAGCAAAATGTGTCTTCTGCTACTTCAGGAAGTTATGCAATATTTAAGTGTCATTGCTAAAAGCTCAATTAATGATTGATTTCTCTGCATAACGACCAAATAGAACAGGAGCAACCTGTAACAGTCCAGGGTTAAATGCATGAAGTTTCATGTGACTACATTTTACACTCTTGATACACAGCCAGGTGTAGCAGCATGTATTTGGACACATGCAGAATGTCCTACTTGTTTTCAGTTAACAAAAGTAGTAAGAGTGGTGGGGAAGAGAATTACATAATTGTCAACAGATCCAAGGAGATGCGTAAGACACTAATTGCAGGGAGAGGCCCCCTAGAGCAACCAGGGGTCAAGTGTCTTGTGTCGCTCAAGGGCACAAAGGTGATACAGCAGAGCTGTAAACTCTCCAGATGTTCAACTATCAGGCTGCCGCCACCCCACCCAATTCCCCATGGGCCTTTTAAAACATGTCACAGCCTGACAAAGGTCAACATTGTGTGCAATGTTTTATTTTCATCTGTAGTTCATCGACCCAATACCCTTTTTAACAAAGGTTTGACTGAAATGTGTGCGCACAAGACCTGCTTTACATAACCAGTGTTCCTACACCTTTAACCAATCATTTCCATGAGAGAGAGAGAGGATTATTATTATATATTATATTATATATTATATAATATAATTATGGGATTATATATTATGGGTATTATTCGATTATTATTCAAAAATTGCACCCCTCCCCCGCAAGCATGCACAAACACCCATGAACCGAGAGAGACGGGATTCACGCTTTCAATCTGTCAGGGTTCGTACACATTTTTACCAATAAATTTCCATGACTTTTCCATGACTTTTGAGACAATATTCATGACCTAAATGTTCCCAAACATAACCGAATGACCGCACTTATTAACATAACAGTCCGTCGATTACCATAAATCAACTGCTCATAAGGCTAGGACATTTCCATTTAAAAAAAATTAATCCCTAAAGGTAATAGATACGAGATGGGAGGAAAAATATACTTCAATATCTTCTGTCGCAATTATATCGTTGGGTATTTACACTGTATATAAACTGCCGGCATCAAAGGAGCCGTTATTAATATGCTGGGCATTGAAATCGCTTATGAACGCACGCATGTTTACTTTCACTTTCGAGATTCGCGATCACAAGTACAGAGCAGCACTCGGCAGTACTTGCCACACATTTTACAAGATTAGTTGTTTGTCGGTGGTGCTCAGGATCTGCAAATCATTCACCATCATCCTATCAGTCATCTCTCCTTACTCTGTTTATGTGGTAAGTGAAATGTTACGTACTGTAATGTAACAGGCTACCGTTAGCAAGCGGCTAAACATGTCCCTTTAGTGGCTCTGTAGAACGCGTTATTTGTTTTCTGCGCCTTTCTGAATACGGATTCAGCCACACCTCTAACCCAGTAGGGGGCGTTTGTGGTCCACACAGAACTCTTATTTGACATTGTCCCAAGTTACTGTAACCATTATATGCCACGCAAGTCTACAGTATGCGCGTGAGACGATGTGCTCTTCTGTTGTCTTTGACAGCTTTTAGGTGCGTTATTGGCCACGCCACATGAACGCATCACCACCGCATCAGCACGGAAAACATGGGGACATTTTTTAAGACAATAATCGCACAACCTATTCGATATTCTATAATTAAATCAACTAACTGAATATTTGAAAATCGTGACCCATCCCTAGTCGGGTCTCGCAGTAGTCCCGTGGGAGTGCAGGTCTCTAGTGCAGCTGCAGCATTCTGAATTTGTGTGCAGAGATTGGTTGGGCTGATCTGGGAGAATTTTTCAGCACTAAAAATATTAATACAGTATATTACATCATAAGGTATGGCTGCTAGTCATCAAAGCGAGTTCTAGTCTGACCGTGAGACTTAATTCAGAGCGGTTTGTGTATTTCTGTAAGATTGGTGATCAGTAACTACCATTAAAACAAAAGCAATCGAAAAGAAAATTATGCTTTCAGCGCACACACACTTCAAATGTGCTTGAAAAAAAAAAACAGTGCAGGACAAAGATGCCTTATGTGCACTGGGAGAGAAAAATACAGACAACCATTGTTTTTAAGGTAAAAGAGATGATGTTTCTAAGCTGCCTGATTTCTTTATTTGGAGAGGTCCAGTGTGCTATATAACTTTAAGGCGTTTGTGTTCTCAGGGCTACTGAAGGTTTGTCAGCACCCAGATCTGAAGTCTAATGTGGCCCGTTTCTTTCAATCCCCAAAAGACCCATTATGCACACCGGCTGTACTAGAATTAGTGATTTACCTCGGTGTCCACGAGCGTTCTTCACCACCACGGGGTAACCCAGCGGCTCGGCTTCATCGATCATCTTGCGAAAGTTGTCATGTCCTCCTGGAGACACACACACAGATGTTGGTTAGTGAATATGTAATGAATGTAATTAAAAGTGAGATTTAATTAAAAGTGTGAGATTCCTGAGAGAGATGCAAACAGCTCTAATGAAAGAAGCAACACTGAGACATTCAATATCCACATGAGAAGGACTGCAAGACTGACAGATTTTTTTGCCACGCACAATGTTTCCCATTTCCTGGACGGCATTCTGTCCAACTATGTGGCCAGTTTTTCAAGGTTAATGGCTCAAAGATGTTTTCGGAGAATGTGTGCTTCAGATGAAACCTGACGGCCACATGTTTGACCCAGAGGCTGCACTATAAATAATTGACACTTTGTAAAAAAAATAAATAATAATAATAATTATTATCTATTATCTCATTATCTATTTTTATACTTAATTCATTTTAATTTCCCCTTTTAAGTATGTAAATATATGGTGTTCTATTTTGTGTACATACATTTGATTTCTCTGTATAGTAAATATTAACACCTTAATAACCAGAGTCCAGTAGGTCAGTTATTCATGCGTTAATGCTATAAATTTGGGCCCATTTAGATTTAAGTCTATGTTTATGAATTAAACAACCTGAACTTGGCAAAACACAGGCTACAAGCTACAGATGTTTAAAGTGGGAAAAATAGGCTTAATGGTTTTCTGCCTTGTATTTATATTCAAAATGCTAGACAACATTTGAAATTAACCGTTAGTGTTTGGAAAATGACAAAATATTTTTATTTAATGCATCCTTTGCTTTGATTGAATGTGTCCAAGATGAAACAAACAGAGAAAGCATATGGAAAGAGTATAAAGGAGAAGAGAAAGAGAAAGCAAAGGAGTGGGTGGAGATATAATTTAAGCTCAAACCCAAACCACAGTAAGTATACCTGCTGGATGTTTTTGTACCCTCTACATTAGTGCTGGGCGGTATGACCAAAAATTTATATCACGGTGTTTTTCAAAATTATACCAGTTTCACGGTACATGACGGTATTTTTTTTTCATGCATGACCGGGTGTTAACCATATTTTGTACTGATTGAGAGGAAATACTGCAGTATATTGACTTAGAGAATGCCCTATTTTACTGTCATGATGAGTGAATTGTCAAAAAAATACCACACTAAATAGTGACTAAACGCGACCCCTTTTAATACATGTTAACCAGGAGTCACTCTCATTTATAATCGCGGCATCGTCTGATAAAATCAACATGCATCTACACTAAAGAGCGGCTATGCGGTTGTTTTGGCTAGATTACTTTTTTGTCTCATGCAGCGCACTGCCTGCGTCTGAGTAACAAACTAAAAAAAAACAACAAACAAAAAAGTGCATGTGATATTAACAAACGAACTACGCTCATATTTATAATTCCAAGCAATCAGTAAGCAACATGTGCTTGGAAACGCTGTTTTGTACTCATTTATTGACAAGTTGGCTGCGGTGCGGCAAACTGAATGCGCAGCTTCTCTGCCGCTCACTGCACAGAACAGACACCGAGAGAGGTGACACTTCTCCGGGAAAGTCAGACCTCGCGTTCGCGGGACAGCACTGGAGAAATCTTCCAACTGAACCATAGCTAAGGTTTATCCAAAAAAAAGTCGCTAGGTTTGTCAGTATGAATATTATATGGAAAAAAAGCCGCTAAAAGGAAAAGATACTTTAAATGTGAAATTAAAAGCGCCAGTAGGTGGCAGTAAGTCACTGTTAAGTGAGTCATTGCGACTGAACCGAATCATTTAAACAGTTGATTCATTAGGGAACGAAACACAGTCATGTTGCTCAAAGACGCAAAACAGCGCTGTGGTTTTGTTTGGAATTATATTTGTTGGCGAAATAGTGCAAAAACAGGCAATATGGTGTCTAAAACGTAAGTCTCTTAATAAAACTTCTAGTTTATTGAACTGTTGTAAAAAAAATCAGTATCACATTTGTATATGGTAATTTTTGGAGAAAAAAA